GCAGCGCTGTGAGGAAGAAGTCTTCCCCCTGGCCATGAACTACCTGGATCGCTACCTGTCCTGCGTCCCCACCCGCAAGGCGCAGTTGCAGCTCCTGGGTGCGGTCTGCATGCTGCTGGCCTCCAAGCTGCGCGAGACTACGCCCCTGACCATCGAAAAACTGTGCATCTACACCGACCACTCTGTCTCTCCCCGCCAGCTGCGGGTGCGTGCATGGCTCCCCCCACCCCCAACACATACTGCCTCCTCACTTACCAGGAAAAGGAAAGCTAAGGCCTCAGAGGCTTTCTGCCCCCTGGGGAGGGAGCATGGCTAGCAGAGGGCAGAGGCTATGTTTTTGGACAAAAGATGGGGCTGTGTGGTGTGATGGTTAGGGTAGCCCCAGCCCCAGTGGCTTGAGCTGCTGGCGAGAACTAAATCTCCTTCTCCTGACCTCCAGGGGGTGCCATTCCTTCCTGGTCTTTCCCCCAGATCCCAACAAGTCCAACTGCATGTCTACACTCCTAGTACTTTGCCTCTGGGTTTACACAGCCACCATGAGTTATTTATTGGCAGTAGCAGGACATGCCTGTACACCCCCACTGGAGTGGGGGAGTGGAATGTGCCTCATGTGGGGGAGGGGGGCTGCTTTGGTTGAGTCTTGATCCCAGTGTGGACTTTGTGATTGAAAAGCCTCCCAGAGCAGATTAAAGCCAGGCCCTGATTGCTCTAAGGAAGGGCCAAGGAGTTTCATCCTACCTTCTTTCCTTCCCCTTATATCCCAGAAGAGACGGCTCCTTCCTAATCCTCCATTCCCTGTCCTCATTCTGAGGAACTTGAGCAGCTGCTTTGGGCCTGGTGGAACCATCTCTCCCTTTCCCCCTTAGCCAAAGGCCAGAGCTGAGGGACAGACAGGGAGCTGAACTGCAGCTGCTTCCGATGTGATAATGATGCCCCCTCCCCTGGCCCGCCCACTCTGACCAAGGTCTTTCATAACCCTGTGGGGAGCTGCTGTCACTCCTGTGGTTTGGGAAGTGGCTCCCTGGGCCTCTTGCTGGGAACTTGGGCTGGGCTCTTCCCGGGGCAGGAGGGCAGGAGGGCAGGAGGGCCCCGGGTTCTCTTTCCCCACTGACCCTGGAGAGGAGGTGGCAGAGCTGCCTGGATCTGGAAGAGGTTATTCAGGGCATGCAGATCATCTCCTGGGGAGGCCTGGGGGAGAGGGTGGGTGAGCTGGCACCTTCCCCCACCCTGCTCTCTGTCCGCCAAGTCTTCTGCTGACCCTGAGAGGAGTCTCTGGGCCCCATCTCCAGGGGAGGAGGGCAGCATGCAGGCTGCTGTGATTGGCTGGCCAGGAAGCCAGGGTACTGGGGCCCCCGACTGCTGCTTGTCGAGGAACAGGATTCCTCTTCCTGCCAAGTAGCTCTCCGAGATGGGAGTAGGAGGCCAGAGTTGGGAATCTGGGAGGCCCCACAGCTCTTTGTGATGAATCTGGTAGTTTTTGGCAAGTCTGAAGGTGGAGCTGGTTTCCAGGGCTGGCGACCAAGATGTTTCCAGAGGGGTTTGGGCTGGAAGGTAGAAGGGGACTTCCTTTTTGTGAAAAGACTGGGATGGTATGTGTGTCTTTGTGTGACGGGAGTTTTTCAGAACAGGCAAAATGTACTCTTACTCTTCCCCCACTCCCTCTGCCTGAGCTGGGGGTGGAGCGTGCAGATGGCTTCCTAGAAGGTCAGAGTTGGACGGGATCTCAGAGAACTCCAGTCAGTCCAAATCCTTGTGCAGCAGAGAAGATTGAGGCCCAGAGGAGGAGGGAAGGGTCCTGCCTCAGCCTTGCACTGAAGCCAGTGAGGAGAACGTGGGTCTTCTAGCTAGCCCAGGTGGCCTTAAAGGCTAGGGATGTGGGGGAAGCTGCCAGCCACTGCAGCTCATCGCCCCCAAGGGTAGGTTCTCCACCACACGAGGGCTGAGAGTCTCAGGGGTTGCCCGGACACAGGATAAGGTGGCTGCCTTCCCTCATACAGGTCCCCATGCCTCCCCACAGGAAAAGTCCACTGCAAGTTGCCTTCCACATGTTTCCTTGGAGGCTAGCTGTTTTCTGTTCACTTTTGAGTTAGGAGTCTGGCCACTGGGACAAGCAGCGGGAGGAGAATGCTAGCTTCTCTGCCCAGCTTCTGGCTGCAGGCCAGGCTGTTTTCTGTGGGGCTATGAGAGGCTTGGGGCTGCCTTGGGAGGATGACTCCTAGGCTGGGGCCAGGAGACGGACAGCTATGGCTGTGGGCCTGGAAGAGGTTGGGTGGGGTTGCCATTTCTGCCTCAGTAAGGGGTCAAACCCATGAGTTCCTTCCTGAGATAAAACAGTGAAGAAATCCTCATGTGTGCAACTCAGAAATGGGGCCAGGGCTGGGAACCCCAAAAGAGTGGAGTGAGGGGGGGCTCACAGCCTCCCTCTAGGACCTGGCAGTAGTACGTAGGCTGGGCAGGTGGGGATAGGGTTTCGTCCCTCAGGGATCATCTGGACCCAGCCTGTCTGATGTGGCTGCTACTTCTCTTCCTGAGACTCAAATGGCACTACGGTTTCCAGCCAAAGGGGTGGAGTAGGGTGCTATACCTCAGGACCCACCCCTGATGTCCCACCAAGGGGATGTGGGTTGGGTTGGGCAACCTCCTCTTTGAGGAACCTCAGGGGAGCTCAGTGGCTGTGTCACAAGGAGGCGTTGGCCTCATGCTCACTCTGGTTTCTTTAAGAGGTGTGGACTGGCCTGGGATGCAGTTAGGGGAGAGGCTAGTGGTGGTCTCCTCTTTCACAAATCCTTGGGATTATGGAGAATCTTCCTGCTTCACCCCAGAGGAGCCTCAAGTTCATGGTGATGCTGGTAGTATCTGCTGCTGTAGCCTTTTCTTCTAACCCTGGCTGGAGAAGTGCTCAGAGCCCTGCATGAAGTCAGGAGGAGGCCTGGATTATTGGCCCCCCAAAAGATAACCAAACAGGATTAAGAGAGAGAATTCATGTAAGGCATGTAGTCTGGCAACTAGTAAATGATCCATAGATGCTCAAAGCAGATGCCCCCAACTCTTCCCTGCCCTGGACTCCCCACTCTACAGTGCCAGTCCCTACATCCAGAAGCAGAACTGGGGGCTTGACCTTCAAGTTTGATGGGCTTCCTTCCCTGTGAGACTTCTCCTTTACTCCCTCCCCTCCCCTTCTTCAGCCACTGACCCCACCCTCTTCCCCCATCTCCAGGACTGGGAGGTGCTGGTCCTGGGGAAGCTCAAGTGGGACCTGGCTGCTGTGATTGCCCATGATTTCCTGGCCCTGATTCTGCACCGGCTCTCTCTGCCCCGTGACCGACAGGCCTTGGTCAAAAAGCATGCCCAGACCTTTTTGGCCCTCTGTGCTACAGGTAAGAGCCCTACACACATTTTTGCAATGTCAGGAAAATCAGAAGACTTGTTAGAGTGAGAGCTAACTTCTGGTTTATACTCAAAATTTACTTGTGAAAATTTTATCCCCTCTGAGCAGAAAAGCAGCAGCACATAATCAGAGCTGGATGGGATCTTAGAGACCCCCAGGACGTAGATAGGGACACTGAGGGCTTAGAAGTGACTTGCCCAAGGTGATGAAGTTGGGAGCAGAACCCAGGTCTCTTGACCCTAGTTTTGTTTCCACATCAGGGAGACTCGTTCACTCCCCGGTCCCTGGCCAGGATCACTTACGGACCACCCTGGACCTGACCTTTGGAAGTTTGCTGTTCACCTCCATCCTCTCCAGGAGAGGCCCTTTCTTGCCTTCCTCTCTTGTCTCTCAGACTACTCACTGCTGGGGTTTCCCATATGCCCCTGCTCTGTTCATGCTGCCTTGCACTTTCTGAGGAATAGGAGGTCCCTGCAGGCTGTTATCCTTGGAAGTCCTCCTTGCCTCACAGTTCCCTCTCCCTCTTCCCAAGATTACACCTTTGCCATGTACCCGCCATCCATGATCGCCACGGGCAGCATTGGGGCTGCAGTGCAAGGCCTGGGCGCGTGCTCCACATCAGGGGACGAGCTCACGGAGCTGCTGGCTGGGATTACAGGCACTGAAGTGGTGAGTGCTGGGCAGCTGGGCAGCAGCCTATCAGTTCTTGAAGCAGTGCTATTCCCCAAGCCTCCAGCAGAGGGAGGTATCCATCCCTGCCTGGTCCCGACTCCTGGTTTCGCAGGCCCCACCGTTGGGGCTTCTGTGGCCTTTTATCTCCTGCCTTGGTCTGGAGAAGAGCTTGTCTTGGGTGGGTTGAAGGGCACTGTCCCTGGGTGCCCTCTTCTTGCCAAATGGTGTGCAGGAGTGAGGGTGGGGGGGTTTGGTGTTAGACATGGGGCTGCTCTCACACCCTCTTGCCACATCCTCTTGCCAGTTTCTGAGAATTGAAGGCTAATTCCTGGGGCTGGGCTGTGGCCTAACCTCCCGACTTCCCTGTGTGCTGGGAGGTGTCCTTCCCCCTGCACCTGCTGCCAGATGCTATGGTGGGAGGGAAGTGGACCTTTACTTCCACCCAACAGTCCCTCCTCACTGTTCCTCTATGCTCCCAGGACTGCCTGCGGGCCTGTCAGGAGCAGATTGAAGCTGCGCTCAGGGAGAGCCTCAGGGAAGCTGCCCAGACCGCCCCCAGCCCAGCGCCCAAAGCCCCCAGGGGCTCCAGCAGCCAAGGGCCCAGCCAGACCAGCACTCCCACAGATGTCACAGCCATCCACCTGTAGCCCCGGAGAGGCCCCCTCGAGTGGCCACCGACAGCAGAGGAGGGGACACTGCCATCCCCCCTCCTGCCTGCAGAATGAACCACAGGCCACATCTGAAGCCCGAGGGGGCTCCTTCCTGTTCGCCCCTCACAAAGCCGAAGGGGTCTGGTCCTACCTATCCCTGCAGTGTGCACTAAAGTGCCTGGCCTGCCATGTTTGGGTGGCTCGTCAGGCTCCTCCTCCTCATGGTGTCTGACCAGCTCAGCTCCTTCCCTGATTCTAGCTGGGGGTGGGCCAGGCTGATCAGAGACGACGTTGAAGTAGGTAATATACTTGTACCAGCATTCCTTCTGGAGGCCCCCTTCTCTCTGGGGCTCTCATGTTCTCAACTGCCAAAATGCCCCAGTGCCTTGTGAAGGTGTTGCACCTTCTAGTTACTGCATTTGGATTGGGGTCTTTCTGAAGAAATTTCACGTTCTGATAGACGGTGTGAGGGGAAATAGTCTAGATGGCTCCTCTCAACACACTTTGGAGGCCCTGCATAATCTGTGTTCACAGCTGCTCCTAGAGGGAGGGGCCCAGGCCTCTGTCAGGGGCAAGAACCAACCAATTCCTCCTTGCTTTGCTTTCCGCTCAGCTTCTCTTGTGTGATTGAGGGGGGTCAGTACTGAAGGAAGAGGTTGTTTTAATTTATTAATTGCTTTGAGTACAACTGTAAGAGGGTGTGGTGGGGCCCGTCTCCCCCACGAGTGGTGGTGACCCTGGTGGTTGCTGCATCCCTCCGCTGCTACTGGCTAGAGGATCTTTGTGGCCGAGGAGCTGCTACAGCCTGGGGTGGGGCCGTGCCCTCCTCTCCCTTTGGCTCTCTGCCCCCTCCTCCAGGGGGGGCATGAAGCAGGGATGACCTGGAGGTGACTGAGACCCCTGTCTGGAGAGGGAGGCAAGCCCTGTTGACACAGGTCTTTCCTAAGGCCACAAGGTCCAGGCTGGTGGCCCAGGACCATCATGCTACCTTAATAAAGATTCTGGAATAAAACTGGCTTCCGCTTCTTGGACTAGGTGGTGGTGTGGGTAAAAGCCTATTTCTAGAGTGCATGAGGTAAAGAGGGCACAAATCAGTGGTCTCCAGCAGAGGTCATCAAGCCTTTCCTGTAAAGGGCCAGAGAGTAAATATGTTCAGCTTTGTGGGCCATATGGTCTCTGCCCCAGATATAGTCAGTTCTGCTTTATAAGGTGATGTATGCGTTCCTAAAAATCACTGCACCATGCAAAATTGCACAATAAAAACCACAGGGCTTATGGGAAAAATGGGGCTTGAGGCACAACACTCAAAAACGAGTGTCACATTTAAAAAAAAGAAATAAAAAGGAGAGCATAGTTTTTACACATTAAATGGTTAAGAAACACATAAATACAATAAATAAATACGGCCCTTGTGGACACAGAGGTCGGAAGGATGTGGAAGGCGAGCTAGATGTAACATCAGATATGGGTGTGGCTCCCAGCCCACAGGGTGAACTGAGGTAGTGCTACATGTTTGAGGTAGTGCAGTCTGTGTTTGGCTTGGTTCAGCTGGGTGCAGTTTTCTGCTTTCACCTAGTGTTTCTCAAGGACAAAACTGCACATAAACAAACGTGAAATTTGCTCTATGATCAAATTCTTTCCAAATATATTAATTGGGTTGGAACAAATCCACATTTTCAAAAGCAAACACAAGGGTTACAGCAGGACTGTATCCTACTCTGCTGTGGCAGGGTGGAAAGCAGCCACAGAAAACATGTAAATAGATGGTTGTGGCTGTGTCCGAACAAAATTTTATTTATGGACACTGGAATTTGAATTTCATGTAATTTTCACCTATCACAAAATACTGTTCTTTTAATTTTTTGCAAAACATTTAAAAATGTAAAAATCATTCTTAGCTCATGGGCCATAAGAAAAAGAGCATATGACCGTAATTTGCCAACCCCTGGTCTAAAGCTCTCATTAGCAAGGAAGTTAGAAAGGGAACCTGTCTGGTGGTGCCCCCACCCCGGTCTAATCCCTGGGCCCGACCTTATTCTCTGACCTTTCTTGCCTCTATCTCCACTTTCCTCTAGAGGCTTCTCCTGTAGCTCTTCCATCCACAGCTGAGATAAGACCATCTTTGGAACAACCTTCTGGTTGCTGGCATTCTCCCAAAGTAGCCTGTGTCAGGGGAAGGCAGAGGATGTGTCCCCTAGGGGCTAACAGGGTGGTCCAGCCTAGAGAAACAAACTCGGAGAATAAGGGCGGGGGGAGTCTTGTGTAAACTGGGCAAGGATCCACTCCTAGGGAGGAATAGGGAAGAGTCCCCACCTTCAGCTAAAGAGGGAAGACAAAGATCTCCACTGATCACATCAAAACACAGAAGTTCAATAAATACCTGCCTTTGTTTTTATCCACATCCCAGTGACTGGACACAACAGCCTGAGAGAAAGTACTTATTCCAAGCCTCAGCCGGGGAGTAGGAATGCTGGGGTGTGGAATCTTAAGTCAGGTCCCAGAACTGAGCAGGAATGAAGGCCTAGAATCGAAGAGGGAGCCAGCCAGACCTTCAGTCCTCCTTGTCAAGTACCGGGGAGTCAGATGCCCGTGACCTCTTGCTGCCCTGATTTGGGTCTTCAGCTGTAAAGGCTCAGTGTCACCTTTAGTCACCAACAAGGATCCTAGTGTCCTCCCAACGCCCCTTGGACCAGGACGAGTGACTGTTTCCTCACTCCATGGTGACGGGAACATCTTCCACATCTCGGGGGACTGCACTCTGAAGCTCACGCCTGATCTCGGGGGACAGCTGTGGATGGGGCTGCAGCCGGAGCAGTTCCAGGAGGGCCTCCTTCTGATCTGTGGCCAGGTCTGCCTTGTAGCGCTGGACCAGAGTCAGAAGGCACTGATGCCAGAGCACAGGCAGCTCGCGATTCTCAGTCCGGAACCCCAGGAAGTGGAAGACCAGGGCGTCCAGCACCCGGTAGGGCAGCGCATACTTCTTATCCAGCAGCAGTCGCAGGAAGATACTGTTGGCACCGCTGTATTCCATCTCGGCGATTTTCAGCATGGCCGCGCTGGTGGGAAAGGGGTGGGGTCAGTAGTGGGGAAATGCTGGGGGAAATGAGTCTACTGCTCCCTCCCTGTGCATTTTCCCTCTTCTCCTCCTCCTCTGCTGGCCCTTACACTGTGGTATTCCCAAGGGGGCCATCTCAGGCATTCTCACCTACCCAGTTTTTATCATACTCCCTCGATGCCAGTTACCATCTCTATGCTGATTCATCCTGAATCCCGACCTGTGGCTCAGCCTGCTTGTCTCAGTATCCGACTAGAATTATGTCTCAGCTTCTCAAGATCTCCACGCCTAATCTATTTCTCACGTTCCCTGTTCATTCACTCAACGATTTACTGAGCACCTACCACGTGCCAGGCACTGGGATCTTGTTCTTGTGGAATTTACCATTTAGTAGAGTAACGATACACCCACTGGCTTCAACAAGCCACAGACCCGGGGCTAGTCTTCGCTCTTTCCCCACTCTGTCCCCCACAACTCCCCAGGTCCCGGCGGTTCTACTATCTGGATATCCACTGGCAGCTGTTGTCCACTTCTACCAACTCTACCTGGAGTGCAGCACAGGGATGGAGCATTTGGTGATGATGCTACCCACGATGATGGCTTCCCGGAGGGTACAGGTGCCTGACTCGCACAGTGGGATCAGGATCCCTGGGGAGGGTCAGAGAGACAGTCACTTTGAGCCCAGAGTGAGCGAAAGGAGGCACAGCAGGAAGCCCCCCACAGCTACCCCCGAGACAGCCATCACCCAAGCCAGGCTTGCTGCTGTCCCTGCAGGAGCTCCAGCCCCTCCCTTTCTGAACTGCCTCCTGGGCTCCTACCTTTAAACCAGGCTCCAGGCTTGAACAGGGCCTTCTTGAGTGCCATGTAGAGGTGGAAGTTGAGTCGTTTGTACTCAGCGATGTCATCTCGTACCCGGGGGAGGAGGACAAGGTTGTAGAAGCGCTGGGCCATCCGTTCCTTCAGGTTAGAGGCAAAAATCCTAGTTTTGCAGGGAGCGGAAGGGGAAGAGATGCTAGGTCACCTGATAGTCAGTAGCCCTTTAAACATCACTGTAGATGGTGCATGCAAGAGATTTGAGGGGTCCATGGGAGTGAGCTGTGTGCACGCACGACCCAAGTCACATTAGAGAGGGAACAGGAGGGGCTACAAGATGTATCCAAGCAGGGTGAAGGGTGTCTGTCTTTGGCAGAGCCAGAGCTCTCCACAGCTGATGGCTACTCAGCTCTCCACCTTACTGTCCCCAGCAGGGATCCTCTCTACCCTGCTGTCACGAGGGACCTGGGTATGCTTGGGGAGCCACAGACCTCTGAGGCCGCTCGGACACACCAGGGTTATACCCCAGTAGTTATAAGCTCTCCCCTAGAAACTCATCACAGAAGACTGTCAACAGGGTCTTGGTCCCGAAACATGAAACAGGAAAAGCTGGGAAAATGATGATAGAAAGAAACACAAAAGAGAGCTCTGAGGCAAAGCTAAAATGCAATGGCAAAGGCAGGGACAGCCTGCAGGCCCCGCACTCGGCCCTCACCTGCAGACTGAGACTACCCTAACCCCCATCCATGCTACCTCGTGGCTTGGTACATGGCAGCTGCAGTCCAGGCCTCCGGCTCTGTGACGTAGAGGATTTGCTCCCAGTTGGAGAGCGCGGGGATGATCTTAAATGCCTTAGGCAGTTTCCCACTGCGGTACTTAGATAACACCTGGGGATGAGGGAGTAAAATCACCATTGTCGTTAACAGACATACTGCTTGCCACGTGCCAGTGCCGGTACTTGTCATATTAACTCACTTAATCCTCAGAACGACCCTATAAGGAGCTATCAGGATCTTCATTTCCCAGATGGGGAAACAGAGACCAGAGAATTAAGTAACTTACCCAAGGCTGCCAAATCACTCTGGAAGAGCAGGAATCTAAAACTCATTCGCTTGGACTCTTAAGTCTGATCTCTGCCACTAGGCCTTATTTGTCTGAGAGATGTGGGCACCCAAAGTCCCTGTGAGAGCCCACAGCCTACAGCATCATGGCTCTCCTCTCAGCTCTTACCTCCCGGACCCCCCTGTAGACTTCCAGGACCCGGGGGTCCAGCTGGGGCATCGGGAAGCCTGACACCTCTGACATGACCGTCTCGACTTCCGTCTGCTTCTCCGTCAGCTTCTCCATGATGATGTCAGCCAGGGTGCGCCTGAGGGTAGGGGAGGTGTAGAGGGAGGGGAGGGAAGAGGGTGGGAGTGCCGTGGTCACAGTCCAGGAAGCTCCACACTCCCCGCAGAGTGCCTGTGAGCTCCAATAAACCTGTGATCTTGCTGGGGTGTGCGGCCTCAGGCCCCCTCTGAGCCCACCCACCACAGAATCGCTGCAGAGCGCAAAGGGCTTGCAAGTCATTCAACTTAGACAAAGCTGGCAGTCATGCAGAGGTTAAGAACCTGGCCTCTGAAGTCAGTCTGCCTAGATTTGAGTCCTAGCTCTCCCACTCCCTGCATGACCCTGGGCATGCTTTGCCTCTCCATGCCTCAGTTTCTTCACCTGTAAAACAGGGATGATAACAGTACCGACCTCATAAAGTTAACGTAAGCATTAAATGAGTTAATGCACACCTGTTACTTGGAACTATTAGTACGCAGCATATGCGTAATAAGTGTTGCCTATTACAAATACATCCATCATATGCTGGCAATATGCTGAGGACTCTCCAATTACAAAATCCTGGTCTGACCTCTCTAGAGAGCCAGACACATCTCAATTATACACCAAGATTTCAAGTAGCCGGGATCATCAGGGAGAGACAATGGCATAAACTTCCCCTATTTTAATTTATAGAAATATGTCTAAGATTAATATTTTTCTCAGCTTCCTTAAGCAGAGTGTATCAACCATAATCTTATCATGATGATTCCGAATTATCATTACATTGGGCTTTGGTATAATAACGGTGTCTTCAGAGGCTGCTAAAGTATATTTAAAATGGCCCCTGTTTTCTGAGGGCCTTCTCAATGCCAGGCACTGAGTGCAGGGCTTTCCAGAGGTTACCTCAAATAGTCTGTTGCATAGCAACAGCTATGCAAGGGATTATCAGTCCCCTTATTCAGATATGGAACTGATACTCAGAGAGGTTAATAACTCACCCAAGGTCGCACAGCTCTCAAATGGGGGAACGAGTCCAACCCTGGTCTTTCAGGTCCTTTACGGTACACTATCATGTGCCCCCAAACTAAATGGCCTCTGACTGCTGAGTTCATGTGGGTCTAGCCTGCTTTCTGAAGATGCCGGCTGTCACGTCTCAAGATTGTCAGGAGTCTCTGTTTCTAGCAGCTTCACTGCTCTATTTACTGCAAGCTGGAAAACCATTCTGCCAAGCCTGTCAGAATGCTCCGTCAAAACGGAATTATATGGCGCTGAGTGAGAACGTGGGAGGCTCTCCAGTGGGGAAAGAGCACATGAGTCCAAGTACACACACTGTGATGTCTATCTCAGCTGCTGGGCATCAGTGTGGGAAAGGGGCTCATTTCTTCATTCCGTGCTCTCACATAAGCTACCACAAAACTTATCATTCAGCTTCCCTGTCTTTTCACAGTATTATTAGCAATGAGAGATGCATTAACCCATTAACCTTGGTTCTGAAGAACCAAGAACAATGTCATGTTAATATCACAGGGTCAGAATGAACTGGCTGAGGGCCCTCATCCTAGACTCCCCTCCCCTGGGCCAAAATCTGTGGGCTCAAGAGTTTGACATAGGAGCTTAAATACCTGCATGTTTAGGAGCTAGCATTTATTATAAATGGGAATAAATTAGCCGTTCTAACTGAGGGGTGATTTTCCCCCCAGGGAACATTTGGCAATGTCTGGAGACATTTTTGGTTGTCACAAATGAGGGGAAGATCACTATAGAGGGTAGAGGTCAGGGCTGCTGCTAAACACCTACAATACACAGGACAGTCTCCACAACAAACAATTCACCAGCCCAAAATGCCAACAGTGCTGAGGCTGGAAAACCCTGGAGAAATGAAGCATAGGGTATGAAAGAGATTTGGCCAAAGAAACTGGGCTTACACTAAGAAAACTGAGCATACTCAGACTAAATGCAATGGGACAGATCTCCCCAGAGACATGAAAAGGCCCTGTAGCTGTGTCCCCAGGTAATCCAGGCAATTCTAGAACAGGTGGATAGAGGGGGAGGAGGTATTTTGAGTCTGGGTCATCCTCACTCAGAAAGATCCTATGAGGATGGGCCAATTTTATCAAGGTGGTCCCCCACAACTACCAATGCTCAGCTGCTTCCCAAAGGCAGGGAATCAAAACTCTGCCATGGCAGATGATTCCCTGTGGGAAGTTGCTACCAGGACCCGCTATCCCAAATCTCAGGCCGTGCCAGCCCTACCTGGCAGGAGGGTTCTTGTTCATGAACATCTCCATGGCACGCTCGTCCTGAGGGTCCACGACCACCTCTGCATGGTGGCCTGCCCCTGTCATCGTAGCAGCCTTCTCCAGGGTGGGCCACTCCTCGTCCTCATCATCTGACCCATCCTGTGGCATTCCCGGACCTAGAAGGGGGAGGAGATTAAATGGATGAGCAAGGCAAGCAGTGGGTGAGGGATTTAGAGGTCAATTTAACTTTAATCATCACGTATGGTACAGGCCTCACAAGTGCTCGTAATAGATACAGATGTGTACGGTGAAAGAGATGATGCACACGCTATCTCCCTGTCCCCAGGGACTTACAATCTCGCTTGAGAAACAAAATGCACACATATGAACCAAAGAGATAGTGATGCCAATAAATAATAGTTAACGCTCTATACTCAGTTATGTAGCAGGAACTGTTCTAAACACTGTACATAACCCTCATAACCCCAAGAAGTAGATACTATTATTATATCCAGTTTCAGATGGGGATGCTGAAGTATAGAAAAGTTAAGTAATTTGCCTAAGGCAGGTCATCTGGGTCCAGACTGTGCATTTCTCACCTTTATTGTACACACATGGTAGGGCCTGATTTTATGCCAAAACTAGTGGTAGAGACAGAATATACCACAGGCACTTAGAAGATGATGATGCAGAGGATGGTTAGCCTCTGGATAGGCAGTACGGGAACTGGAGGAGTGTGTTCTGGATCTGGGTAACAACACGGGCAAAAGTGCTTGGTTACAAGAGTGTCTCTTAAGCAGTAGCAAGAAATAAGGCTAGATGGGTAAAGTGAAGCCAGACTGTGGAGTTCAGACTGGAAGGCTATAGCTGGCTGGGCATCTGGAAAGGGATGCGATAATCCAAGCGGGGAGATGAAATGCTACATATGAACAGGTCATTAAGAACAGAGGCAGTGGGGCCGGCCCAGTGGCCTAGCAGTTAAGTGGTCTGCTACTGGCGGCCCGGGTTCAGATCCCGGGCGCGCACTGACGCACTGCTTCTCCGGCCATGCTGAGGCCACGTCCCACATACAGCAACTAGAAGGATATGCAACTATGACATACAACTATCTACTGGGGCTTTGGGGGAAAAAAAGGAAGAGCATTGGCAACAGATGTTAGCTCAGAGCCAGTCTTCCTCAGCAAAAAGAGGAGGATTAGCACGGATGTTAGCTCAGGGCTGATCTTCCCCACAAAAAAAATAAATAAATAAATAATAGAGGCAGTGGAGCCGGCCCGGTGGCATAGCGGTTAGGTACGCACGCTCTGCTTCGGTGGCCTGGGGTTTGCAGGTTCGGATCCTGGGCGTGGACTGACGCACCGCTCATTGGGCCATGCTGTGGTGGCGTCCCATATAAAGTAGAGGAAGACGGGCATGTATGTTAGCCCAGGGCCAATCTTCCTCAGCAAAAAGAGGAGGATTGGCAACGGATGTTAGCTCAGGACTAATCTTCCTCACAAAAAGACAAAACAAAACAAAACAAAACAGAGGCAGTGTGTGATAAAACCAAAATGAGTGCGGGGAGTGGTGCCAGAGGTTTTCTCTCCACTTACTAACAACTCCCAAATCTGTACTTGTCGGTGGATCTCCCTTCCTTGCAGACTCTAACTCCAGCTGCCTCCTGTACAGCCACTCTTTTTTTTTTTTTTTTTTCCCTGTAACAACCTTTATTCCTCTTCCTCCATAGAATTCACAAAAGGGTCATCTTATCTTTTCAACAATTTATGTTGGCTCATTATGGGCAGTACACTTGCATCTGTACAGCCACTGTTGATGGCCCACAGGCATTTCAAACTTCACCTGTCACCAACCAAACTCATTCTCTTTCCCTCCTAGGTCTACACTACTCACTGTGTTCCACATGTGGAACATTGGCACCACCATCTACCCAATGTTAAGGCAGAACCTGGGAAGCAGGCCTGCCTCGTCCCCTGACCTCACCCCCAACACTCAATCAATTACCAAGTCCTATTCGATTCTACCTCATAGACTACCTCCCAGATCCTTCACAGCTCTGTCTAAGCATAGCAGCAGCATCTCTTGCCTGGATTAATTCAACAATCCCCTACCTGGTCTCCATATACTCCAATAGTTTCTCACTGTCTTTAGAATGGCTTTAAATCCTGAGCACAGCCTCCAAGTCTTTTGTGGATTTGGCTCCTACATACCTCACCATCATTCATTAATCCATTCATTTAGCAAACACTGAGTGCCTACTATATGTGAAGCACTGTTCTGGGTGCTGAACATATATTAGCGAACAAGAGAAACAAAACTTTTTACCCTCACAGAGCTTACATTCTAATGGGGGAGACAGATGAATAAATATGATATATATTAGGTTAAAAGAAGACACATGCTATGAAAAAAGAAAACAGGGCAGAGTAGAGACATTTGGGAGTGTGGAGACAGGGGTGGGGTGTTGCCATTTTTAATGGAGTGGCCTCTTTGAGAAGGTGAAGAACTAAGGGAGTAAGCCTACAGGCATATGAGGACAGAAGGAACAACCATGGCCCTAACTCGCCATGTTTAAGAAAGAATGAAGCCTATATGGGTGGAGTGAAGAGAACAGGGGCAGATCACACAGGTCTTTGTAGACGACTGTAATCTTCTAGCTGTTGAGCTGTGAGTGGACTATAGGGGGTATGGGATACTAAATTAGGGGGCTACTGCAATCATCCAGGCGAGACATTGCGGTGGCTTGAACAGGATGGTGTTCCAAGGTGGTGAGAAGTGGTCTGATTCCGGATATATTTTGAAGGTAGAGTCAACAGGATTCCCTAACAGATCAGATATGGACCAAGAAAGAGAGGAGCCCAGGGGTTCTGTCTTGAGCAAAAGGAAGGATATCATGCTATTGACTGAGATGAGGAAGACAGTGGGAGAAGCAGGTTTGGCGAGAAGGTCAGGATTTCCGTTTTGGACACGTTAAAATCGAGATGCTTATTAGACTTCAAATGGGAGATGCCACATAGGCAGCTGAAATATACGAGTCTGTGCTTCATGGAAGAGAGCAGGACTAGAATACAAAGTTGGGAGAAGTCACCAAATAGATGGTGTTTAAACCATGAAACTGATGACAGCACCAGAGAAGTGACGAGAAGAGGTGCAAGGACTGAACTCTGCAGCTCTTGAATGATAAAGAGGTTGGGGACAAAAGAGGAGCCAGAAAAGACTATTGAGAAGTGAAGAAGTAGTGAAACAGGAATGTATTGTCTTAGAAGCCAAGTAAAGATACTGCAGCCAGGAGGCAGGTGTTCAATTGCGTCAAATGCTGCTCTCTGGACAAATGAAAGATGAGATCTGAGAAATGGATTAAGCAACTCGGAGGGCAACACTCACCCTAATAAAAAAATACTGACCATCTTTTAATTAATCTCTCTCCTCTTTAGCCCCTACACAATATTGTTCTTTCTGCTCAGAACACTCTGCCCTGGTTTTTCAGGTCTCAGCACAAAGGTCATGCAATCTGGGAAGCCCGACCCCCAAGGTTAATGCTATTGTTATCTGAGAAACTATACTTTCTTTATCGTTGAGATTATTATTATTAGAATAGTATTAATGTAATATTATTATAATAATATATTACAATTATTATTTTAATTGTCTCTCTCTTGGGCTAGACTTTAATATCCTGAAATCAGGCACAAGTCTATCTTGTTTACTTCTTTACCCAAACCATCTAAACTAGCACAGTGCGAAGCACGTAGTAGACATCCCATAAGTAATTAGAGAACAAATGGATAAATGCTAGGAAAACTTAGTAGCGTTAGCAATCGCTTCCTGTTGGCATAACTTCGGGGGTGCCTAGAAAGGAGTGCCTAAAACTATGAGTGGGCGTGGAGGGTTTTGACCACCCTAAATTCGCTCCAGGGCTGGGTCTCCCATTCCATTACCTTTGCAAGGTGGTAATATAAACCACCCTCCTTTTATTTTTTATTGCAAGTTATTCCCGTGGCGGACATCTTTCAGCCGTCCACTCCAATTAACCGCGCTCTTCCTCGCACCCAGCCCCCGCCACTCACCCAGCCGCGTGGTGCGCTCCCGCGGCACCGAGGGCCGGTTCCCGGTCCCATGCTCGGCCTCCAGCTCCTCCTGCTGCTGCCGCGCTTGCTCCAAAATCCGTCGGGTCAGCCGGGGCCCCACATACTCTTCCTCCTCTTCTCCGGTTCCACGGCCCCGCCGCTTTTCCCGGGCCCCTGCCCGCACCGCGTCCCCAGCCAGGATCTGCTCGGCCAGGGGCGCATGTTTTTCCTGAACCCCGGCCCCGCGGGCCGCCTTGAATTTGGGCATTTTTCTCGAAAACCTTGCCGGGAAGGTTCACACGTGGGGACGGGGGAAAAAGCCCTGATTGCGCTTGCGCAGTGAACCCCGCGCCCAACAGGCGAGACGGCGATCACAGCGTTCCCTAGCGTTCGGAGGCCGGGAGTGCCATCAGCGCCGCCCCACCCCCTAAAAGAGCTCACTGGTCCTGGAGCAGGACTCCTGAATAAACTCATTGCCTTTAACGTTGGCTTCTCTAAGTGGTGGCAGGCCGAGCCACGCTTTCCTAGCTTCATGGATCTAGGCCCGGCCACATGAGAATTTCTCCTGCTGCAAGCCTGGGCCAGGATCGGACAGTGACGTCACTGGAGGCGTCACCGAGGAGGCGCCTAGACAAGCCCCTGTTCCTCGTGGGCGCGTCGACTGGGCGCTCTGTTTTTGCGTCATTTCCGGAGCACCTCCCTCCAGCGAGCCTGGCGGTAGGGGGCTTCACTTAGCGTGGGCGGCCAGAAAGCGCCGCCTTTCAGCTGTTGGATCCTGCCACCCTCCTGGCCCGACACCATGGGAGTGACTTGGTAGGAGTGCGAGGGATTTTGTGGGGCGGGGCTTGGGGTCGTGAAGGGGCCCTTGGAGCCTGGACTGTACCCGGGAGGAGGAGCGAGACCAGGGTCCGCCGTCCCTCAGGAGCTGAGCAAGATGTCCTCGGATTGTGTGGGTGAGGGGGACACCATGAGGGCCGCAGAGTCTCAGGGCCTGTTTCCTCGGAGATGCGCCCCTTCCTCTTGGAAGGCGGCCGGTAAAAGGTTTTATCCCAGGAACCCATCAATGGTTGTGTACCTCGTTCGTTTTTTCTTGGTCCATATGCCTGCCCGTGGGGCTGTGGTACTGCTGGGGGTGGAACTTTAGGGTCGGAAATAGGATGTCCGGACTAGGACCCATCTGCAGGCAGGGCTGGAGGGGTTGAGGGATAGGCAAGGAGGAGACAGTATCTTTTTTAGGTTTTCGCCTGCCCCTCCTTACAGCCGCTAAATGCAGTTAGACCAGCCTGTATCTGGTTCTAGTTTGACCATTTTAAGATCCTCTGTCTAGAGGTAAAAAAGAAGCTATTGGGAATTAGGAGATTGGGGTTCCAGGCATGTCACCTTTTCAGGATCCCTTCCTACTATGTTTAATTACATGGTTGGTCTAGTTTTTATGGACTTATTAGCTCTAACATGTTATAAGTCTGGGTGGCAGGGAAAGGTGTGGGCCTAATGCTCTTGGAGGCATTAGTTCCAAAATGCTAGATTTCAGGGCTTTTTTTTTTTTTTTTTTAATACCGGGAGGTGTGAACATCTTTCCAGAGAGGGCTGGAGGCCAGGATATCTGAAACTAGGGGCTGTAGGCTTCTTCTATAAGAACCTGTGGGCACTACTCCTCCTGATAGCCCCGGTTCTTGAGGTTTGTTGGTGATTGCACCTTTGTTTCCTACAGTTGTCATCGGAGCCTCCTCAGGTTCTCTAGTGTAAGGGGATATGTGAGCGATGGGAATGCAAAGTTTGAAGCACAGAGGCTTGGAACCCTGGAGGCCCCTGTTCTTTCAATAGAGAAGGCAGACAGAGGGAAGGGCTCTCTTTTGGGACCATTATCAACTTTTTCCGACTCCTAGGACTTCTGACCTCAGTAGCATCAGTTTAGGGAGTCTCTTATATTTCAGAATAAGGCACATCATTATCATTGTTTATCAGTGCTTTTTCTTTTTTTTTTTTAATTTATTTATTTCCCCCCAAAGCCCCAGTAGATAGTTGTACATCATAGTTGCACATCCTTCTAGTTGCTGTATGTGGGACGCGGCCTCAGCATGGCCGAAGAAACCGCGTGTCGGTGCGCGCCCGGGATCCGAACCCAGGCCGCCAGCAGCGGAGCGCGTGCACTTAACCGCTAAGCCACGGGGCCGGCCCTATCAGTGCTTTTTCTTATGGAGAGTAGTGACAATTATTAGCAACATCAGGACTCTACTTTTATATCTTCATTTGGTTGACTGATCCTAAAGTAATGCAGTGTCTCCCAACATTCACTCACATATGATTCTCCTTAGGATTTTTGTATAGCCAAGTACCAGCTCTACTATTATTTATTAGTGTTTTCTTTTAAATCTATTTATTTTCCTTTCAAGTATTTAACAGGCAGCTGTGTCCCTAGGGAGGCAGTCCAGTATGCTGGTTAAGAGTGTGGACATGGCGCCAGCTTGCCTAGCTTTGAATCTTTGCTACAGCACACCAAGCTGTGTGACCTTGTGTGAGTTATTCAACCCCTCTGTACTTTAGTTTCCTCATTGGTAACAAGGAGATAAATAATAGCACATCTTATAGGGCTGTTGTGAGGATTGGAAGACTTAATTCATCTAAAGGCCTTTGGACACTGCCTGGCACATAGTTTGCGCTTGGTGATTTTTACCCACCCCTCTAAAGGGGAAGCCAATTTCACTCACCATAGAAGGAAATCTTGGAAATAACATTTTTTGTTTCATTGTTTTGATTAAATTCTTGTACGTACTGTTGCCTCTCATCCCCGAAGATTATAAACTCGAGGCTTGCTTTCTTTTTGATCTTAGGGCTGTCGAATAGAACTTTCTGTGGTGATGGAAATGTTGTATATTAGCAGTGTCCAGTACCCTACCCCCCAGCCACTATTGAGCTATTGAGCCCTTAAAATGTGGTTGCAGCAGAGGAGTTGAATTTTTAATTTAATTTGTTTTATTAGTTTAAGTGTAAATAGCCACATGTGGCTTGTGTCTGCTGTACTGGACAGTGCACGTTCAAAGTGTTGTAGAGTTGGTAAAAATATACTATCCCCAAACTGATGCTTTCTCCTTGATACAGTCAGAAGTGAAAGAATCACAAAGCTCATTATACAACTCAGCGTTATCGAGTGCTCAGTCTGTGTGCCACCTAAAATCTTCTCATGCTACGCTTGGGAAGTGCTGGTGTGATAGATAGGAAGTTCACTGCACTTCTCTGCGAGTCCTGAGAGATGTCCTCAGGGACCGTGGGCCTCTATTTCCTCTGTTTTAAAATGAGGGGGTCAGGGTCAGTGGTCTCGAAGTTAATTTCTGGCCCTGATGAGCTGTGATTCTGTGAGTGAGTGGTTCAGCGAGTGCACATGTGTCATTGCATATTGATGGTTTGGTACTCTCCCTTCCAGTGTGTCCCAGATGCCTGTCGCTGAGGGCAAGAGTGTCCAGCAGACCGTGGAGCTCCTCACCAGGAAATTGGAGATGCTTGGGGCAGAGAAGCAAGGAACATTTTGTGTGGACTGTGAGACCTACCACACAGCTGCCTCTACCCTTGGCAGTCAAGGTCAGTGAGAAGGGTCTGTGTGATGGCTGGAACCTGGCTTGGAGTTGATAGATGTTCATGTTCATTGAAATCTTTCTGTTCTTCTGCTAAAGGTGGTATTCTTAAACGTGTGGCACAGGTGTTTCTTAATTCATTAATTCTTGGTCCTTCATCTCTTAGACTGGGCCTATGTTTTAGTCTTTTTGCACTTTGCATTCTTAAAGCCGTGTTTCTTGGAGGGTTGGTCACTGACTGACTAAATCATTTGAGTTACTTGTTAAAGGTGCAGATTCCTGGCCCTGCTTACCGACTGACTGGTGCTACAGGCCTCATAATCTACATTTTAACAACCTTCCCAGATGATCTTTATGCAGTCTGAAGTTTGAGAAAGTCTCCTTTTAGGCTCAGAAGTCTTCGGATATGATTCTTGTAGAGCTTTAGAGTTTTCAGAATTTTCTGCAGAAAGGCTTCCTGTTGCCCACACCTAGCCAGTGGCCTTGGCTACCTCATTAGCATAACCTTGACCAATGAATCATCTCTTGTTTTAAATGTATTGATAGGTGAGATGGGCTGTGGATGGTCATGGTGGTAGGGAGGCAAAGAGGATCTTTGAATATGACTTAGGGAACCTGAGTTCTCTTAGTCTTGGCTCTGCAGTAACTTGACCTTGGACAGTTCCATACCAGTGATTAAGAGCCTAGATCTCGGAACCAGGTAACTGAGTCCTGGCTCTGCCACATGCTAACTGCAACTTTAGCTAAGTCCCATGACCTGTGACTGTTTCTATGTCAGTCATTTGCCTCTTTTCCCATAGATCTCATCCCTGCACACTACAACTGCCAGGCCGCCTTTCAGTTACCTTGGGTCAGTGAGAGGCACTGGGGAAGATTAGAGGATGGGAGAAAGGGAGACCACAGTATTGCACTCCCTCTCCCTCTGCTTTGGGCAGTGGTTATGGCTGTGGCTCCTCCTTGCTTCTAGCTCCTGCAAGGCAGCCTTTGTTCCTGGCTCTTATAACAGCATATCTTCTCTTTTTCCTTCCAGCTTTAGGGATGGTGGTGGCTCCCTGTGTTGCTAATCTTTGGGTGGCCTCACCATTCCGTTTGTTTTTCAGTTCTTCCAACCCCTGTATTTCGCTCCCTGTATTAAATCCCCTCTAATGAAGCTATCTGGTGTGGGCTCTGTGTTTGCACCCTTCCTAATACAGTTCTCTCATCTGTAAAATGAAGGTAGTCATAGTACTTACCTCGTAGGGTTGTTGTGATAATTAAATAAGTTAATACATGCAAAGCACTTAGAGCTGAGGTTGTCATGTAATAAATATTTAATAAATGGTAGCTAACAGCTGTACTGCATTTCATTGTTGATAAAAATGCAGTGTTACCATTTATTTTGCCTTCAATAGGAAGGAAGTAAGAATCAAAAGCGATAATGGTTATGAAAGCATTTGGAAAACAAGGCATTGTATGTAGTTATAAGATGGCATACTACTTCTATGAAACTGCCTGTGTGGGCTGTTTTCCTGATCAGATCTTTACTTTCAAGGAGCTGTAGTCTAGTTGGGGAGACACCATATCAGTGGCAGGCAGTGTGGTAGAATGAAAAGAGAGATGAACTTGAGGTCAGAGGCCTGGATTGGAGTTCCGATTCTGCTGCTTACTGGCTCTGTGCCTTCAGATCAGAAGTTCTCACAGTTGACTAGCGTGAGCATCACAGAGGGCTTGTTAACACACAGATTGCTGGGCCCCACGCCCAGAGTTTGTGATTCACAGGTTTGAGGTGGGGCGGGGAATTTGCATTTCTCACAAGTTCCAGGTGCTGCTGCTGCTGCTTCTGCTGCTGGCCTGGGACCCACTAGCTTCGTTTTCCTCATCTGTAAAAGGGGAACAGTAATGCTGGTTCTACTTCCTTCACAAATATATGCAGGTGTGAAAGTACTTTGTTGTGATTAAAAAAATAGTATTGTCTATAAACAACTGGAAGTGCTTTCTTCATTAAAAACAAAACCTTAGTTGACTTTCAAAATATTTTCGAGACAGTAAGAACACCTGCAGACTCATATAGTATGGATTAAGTATGTAACTACAGCGAGTTTGCACAAGAAAGGAATGACAGATCAGCTTTGGATGTCTTTTTTTTCTGATGGTTGAAATGTTTTGAACTAGGTGTAGAAGGAGGTGAAAGGTGTGACTGGGCAGCAAGCAGTTGGGGGGAGGTGGAGGAGGTTCATGCAGAGTCTGTTGTGTTCAGGAAGTGGCAGCAGAGCAGAGGCCTGTGTAGAGAAGTCACAAGGCCCCCTGCCCAGTCCCACCTGTCTCCTCACTCTCCACTGCTACCCTCTTATCCCTGCCTAGGATATCTTCTTTCTTCTCTGTGTGGCTGAATCCTTCACATCTTAGTTCAGGTCCTGTTTTTTCCATGAAAGTGTTTCCTGCTGACTCGTATCCACTTTGATCTCTTCCTACCCTGAAGTCTTTCCTTCCTTCCAGAAGACTTCTGGTCTGTCCCATGTAATCACTTTTGTTTTGTTTTGTGTTTTTGAAAATTTTTCGCCTCTTTCTTTAGTGAGCGTCAGCTTCTTGAGACCAGGGGCTAAATCCTCTACTTGTGTGACCCTTGAACCCTAGCACAGAGTTAGGGATAGTTTAAGAAGTTAATATATGTTTGGGATTATGGGAGGCTGTCCATTAATTCTTGTAGTGTTTGAGAGAAGAATCTTGCTTTGCATTTTTTGCGTTCTTCCATTTTCCACTTAACCAAATATATATAGCTTTCCTTCCTTCTTGCAGAAAACCTATAGTAATTAATGAGAAAACTCACTTCTCAGATACTGGAAGGGGTGAGCTGGGGCTTCAGACTAGATCTTCTGATTCCAGATCCTGAGTTCTTTCTGCTGTAGTTGTGCTGCTTGCTTCCCAAGTTGGCTGACGTCTTAAAACTCTCGAAGGGCTCACCATTGCCTTCAGGATGAAGTCCAGACTTTTGGAGGCATGGAAGGCAAGACTTGTCACAGCTTGGCTCTGGCCTACCTTTCAAGCCTCATGCTCAGATACTCCCTTTTGCTGCTTCTGTGGGGCCACTTCTGATATCTCAAAGGAAAGTGGGGATGGACAGGAGAAGAGAGCGTCTGCTTCCTTTGGCATACTCAAATGCTGGTAATTTTATTTTATTTTCCTTATTATGTAATATATGATTATATAAAAGACTATATGTGAAGTCTGTGTGAGTTATTAATCATCATCGTTTAGCATCCATCTGTGAGCCCGTCACTCAGCTTAAGAATTAAACCATTATCAGCACTATCGAGGTTCCCTGTGGGCGCCTCACCTTTTTCTGTGGAGCGGGTGAGTTTTGCCACATGCTGCCCTGCCTGCTGTTCCTCTCTCTTTCTCTCTGGAAAAGGCCGTTGGTGAGGGGATTCCCCCCACCCCCTCTGAGACTGCCACGTTAGTGCCAGAGTACCATCTGGCCTTGTTGTGTGTGTGCATTTGACTCTGTCCTGGGATTTGCGACGAAGGTCTGGATGCTGAGTAGGCTCTCCGTCCCCGCAGGTCAGGCCGGGAAGCTGATGTATGTGATGCACAACTCAGAGTACCCTTTGAGCTGCTTCGCCCTCTTTGAGAACGGCCCTTGCCTTATTGCTGACACCAACTTTGATGTGCTCATGGTGAAGCTCAAGGGCTTTTTCCAGAGTGCCAAGGCCAGCAAGATTGAGACCCGGGGCACCCGTTACCAGTACTGTGACTTCCTAGTGAAGGTGGGCACGGTCACAATGGGACCCAGTGCCCGAGGCATCTCCGTGGAGGTAAGACCCTGGTGACATAGGAGCAGGATGTGCCGAAGGGCATTCTCAGCAAAGAGCTCTGCAGAATTCCACGTCCTTCTGAATGCAAGCTGGTGTTCATGCCTACCTGATCCCTGTCTCTGGAGCGTCTGTGCTCCCTCTCTGTGCATCTTTTACCCTTTCCATAATCATTCAGGGACCCTGTAGCCCAGGATGGGAATGGGAAGCTGGGTTCACAGCAGAAGGAAAGCTTAGGCTGGCTTGCTGGAGAAAGGAATGGATAGTTAAGGGGGCAGGCGAATTATGGTCTGGAGGGACCAGTCACCCATCACAAGAAGGACTGGGGCAGACGGGCAACTTTCAGTACAGTGAATTTTGGGATGTGGGCCCTAAATCACGTGTGTCCACACACCTCTCCTTAGTATGCTTTAAGATAGGTCTCAAAAATTGTGTAGCAAAGATGTGCCTTTCCTTTTGACACACTGGCTACTTTCTTTCATGGGGGAAAGGGATGTGTGATGACTTCATCTTTGAGGCTAGATGTATATATTGAAAATGGCAAAGAAAGAGTGTGGCAGTAGCTGGCTCTGGGACTAGTCCACAGTCTACCATGTGCCCAGCACTGTGTGAGATCAAACACTAATTAAGCTACCTGTAGCTACCTGCCTTTTGAAAATTTATGATTTAGTAAGAGAGCAAGGCTGAAACACACAAACTGTTTTTGAAGTTGGTCTATGAGAAATGCCATAAAAGAGGCACAGTTTGCTCTGGGATTTCAGGCCAGTGAAAGCACTGCTGACTTTGGGGACTGTGAGGCTTCCTGTAGGAGTAGCATTTAAGGAGGGACTTAACGTAGAGACATGGGGATGGGTAAGTCCTAAGAAGCATCACAGGTGGAGAAAAGGGCATTAGTGGTAGTTCCTGCTCTGAAACTCCAGGGACCTCTGGGGCCAAGATTTCCTGACCCTTTCACTTCGTGAGACACCTTGCACTTGCTGAGAACCACTGGGGACCCGCTCTTTATCTTTCACATATCCAACTCTGCAGTACAAACACACCCTGGCTTTACTTGTTTCTCCTTATGATTACCAATAATTTCCTCCTGCCATCTCTCCAGTGAAAAATCAGGAGAAAGGAATGAGAAAACCTAAGATGTATACCTTTTGGCCGCTGCCACGTTGGTTGGTAAATTATTTCTTAGGTCAGAGCTCAGGCTGGGTCTACCTTGGGAGTAATGTTTGGTCTTGAAGAGACTTAGGAACATATGTGTCAACTCTGCCCTCTACTGATCCCCCAACACACGCACACACACTTAATTTCTCTCGTTCTTCATTTTCTCTTGGAAGTTTCCTGATCTCTCCTTGAATCTTCACCCAAGATAGTTGAGACTGTACAGTTCTGAGATAATCAAAAGGGGCCTAGATCTGCCTCTGAGTCTTGTGGGCAGGGCTGTGGGTTGATAAGTCCAAGATGAGAATGTCAGAGATGCCTAGAGGGGATGATGCTGAGTGTGTCGAATCCCTGGTGTTTGGTTGAATATTTCTGTTGGAGCAGCACTGTGCTAGAAGGTGTGTGTCCTTGGCTCGAGGTTGGGGAGGGTGGGCGCAGGGGACAAGAGGTGCAGTTGAAGTGGAAGACCTCATCCTTGCCCTCACTCACCCTCGTTCTCTCTTTTTTTGGTCCCTAGGTGGAGTATGGCCCCTGTGTGATAGCTAGCGACTGCTGGAGCCTGCTGCTCGAGTTCCTACAGAGTTTTCTGGGCAGTCACACGCCAGGGGCTCCCGCAGTGTTTGGGAACAGACACGACGCAGTCTACGGTCCAGCAGATACCATGGTCCAGTACATGGAACTCTTCAACAAGATCCGCAAGCAGCAGCAGGTGCCGGTGGCTGGGATTCGTTAGTGACTGGCAGCTGCCCGGGTGCACTCTATCACCAGGGGGACTCCATAGGAGGAACAGCTGCTGCGTCCTCAGGGCCCTGAACCCCAGAAACCCAGGGCAGACATGGAGGCTTCTCTCCCTCTCCAGTTCCCAGCTGTGGCTTTTGTTCTGAGGCTCTGGACGCCCCTCCCCTGACCCTCACACAGTCCCCTGACAGCTGTTCCACCCCACGCCTTACTGGAGTTGGCCTGTCTTTAAGAATGGTAATTTTGAAGAGCGGAGAAGTTTGGAGCTTTCCTGCTTTAGGGGAAAAGGTAGGATAGGGGTGTCCCTGCCTAATGTTGGTGGGGAAAGCAGTCTGTATCTCCAACTGTTGAGGATTGGTCTAGGCCCACAGCGGACAGGCTGCATTCTGTGTCGAGCTGTGTCATAATATAGGCCTCTTTCTGTACTCAGAGGATGTGGCTGGGCCTCTCCTGGAGGAGTAGGAGGCACAACTTAGTTGATGGCTATCATTTTCTGACCTGCTTGCTGAAGTGAGTTGTCAGTTTTTTCTGAGGTGTTGCCTGAGTCCTTTCGTCTCCCTTGACATCTTTCCATTTTGTTGTGAATTACATTAAACCATAGGCTAAGCTGCTATAACAAGGAGAACCTAAAGTACAGTGATTCTTAGTAGAAGTTTCTTTTTCTCTTCTTGTAATATTACAGAGGTAAATCTGTATAGTTTGTAGTGCAAGCATATAGTACAGATGGTCCAGGGCAGATTTCACTCTACAAGGTCATCAGGAGCTCCAGCTATCTTGTTGTTCAGCCACCCCTAGGGTGTTGTCCTTGCCCACAAGGTCAAAGCAGACTCATCGGCTCCACGTCTGCATTCCACTGGGGCAAGAGAGAGAGAACAAAGCAGTTTCTTTTTTAAAAAATATGACCTGGAGTTGCTCAAATCACTTTGGCCGTGCTTTGCTGAAAGGGACTCTGGGACATAGAGCCTCTTATTTGGATGGTCATGTTCCAAGTTAAAACTTGGGGGGTTTTGTGACTAACAGATGAAGGAGAAAATGGATTTGGGGGCCCAGTTAGTGCCCCCATGCTACATGGAGGTCAGTGGATGTGCCAAGGATGCTCTTGGCTGTTGTTTTGCAGAGAGTACACCCTGTACGTAAGCCATTTGTTTGTGAATTGGATTGGGATGGGGCTGATGCCAGAGCCTCTTTCAGTTTCGCTGGATTAGTCACACAGTATGGGTTACTTCACACTAGGAAGTCAGTTCTGCACCCCTTGTCCAAGTCTCAGCATCAAGGCCCCTCCAGTTCTTATGCACCCAGTGCTTAGGGTTGGTTAGAACATTTGACCTGATACTTGCACTGTGCTTCATGGTTTCCTCAGCTCCAGCTCCTCATCTCATTTGAGCCTCCAAGCTGCTCATTTGACCTACATTGCCTGCCCACTTCACTCCTGCTGTGGAAATGTCCAGTCATGCTAAGATTGAGATACTCAGACAGAGATGGTCTTAGGAAATGTGTTAATGTACGTATTACAGTGTTGTCCTCAAGGATAACGTTGGTCACTGAAGGCATCTAAAGAGAAATTGTTTTCAGATCTAAAGCCTCTGCAACAAAAATCAAGTAGTGGTCATGTTTCTCTTCTAGCTTTGGCTGGTGGGAAGCTCAGTTCAGCTTTATAACTGCAGGACCTGTCCTCTACATTTTTTGTTCTCACTTCCCCCTGGTTTTTTTGTTTGCTTTGTTTTTGCTTTTTTAAATTGAGGTCTGTTTTAGATATCATTTACACACAATAAAATGCACAGGTTTTGTGTTGTTGGCCTTCTGATTTATATTTGCTCTTGTCCAGACTTACCTGTGTGTATTTTCTGTAGGCTCCCTCAAATCTTTTATGAAATAAGACAGCATATAGGCAGGATTTTGAACATAATGTGTTCCTGAAAATATACAGAAATCGAGTGTGATAAATATGATTCTAGACTTAGACATTATAAGGAGGGATTTTGTTCCCTAAAAATTAAAAAATAGTATAAATGGGATCCATAATTGTACTTGACCTTTTTGACACAGTCTTGGCTCAGACCTTTCCAGTGTTCTTCACTTTTGTTCTTTTCTCTTATTTTGAGCACCTAGTTGACCAGCTTTAAGTCCAGTGAACACCAGATCAGACTTTAAGTACACACTTTGGGTACCTTTGTCCATCTTTGTCCTTTTTGTCAATTAAAGCGAGTCTATCACTAAAAAAGGCAGGTAGCAATATTGCCAAAACTGAACTGGTAACTAGTGGGAAGGGCCCAGATGTCATCCGGCTTTTGTGTGCACGTCTGGATGGGGCTTTCAAGAGTAGTTTAGGATTTTCAGTGTATAATTTTTGAAAGTTCAGGTTGAATGCAAGTTGAGGAGCGTTTGTATAAATTTAAGGAAAAAAGGGCATGGTTATCCTTATAAATGAAAGAAACCTTTTTTTCTTTTTTTGGTGAGGAAGATTGGCCCTGAGCTAACATCTTGCCAGTCTTCCTCCATTTTGTATGTGGGATGCTGCCACATAATGGCTTGATGAATGGTGTATAGGTCCATGCCCAGGATCCGAACCCACGAACCCTTGGCCGCCGAGGCGGAGTGTGCGAACTTAACTACTATGTCACCAGGCTGGCCCTGATGAAAAAAACTTAAACTCAGCCACTAAATGGAGATGGCGTGTTTTTTGGTTCAAATCTGATGTTCTTCCTTCTCCACTAGACTTATCTTCCTACCCCTCCCTATTCTGCTTTCAGATGCTTTACCCTTCTCCCCATCTGTAGCTACTCATAAAAGAAGAGAAACTAAGAAACTTCTAGGACCCTGCTAACATGTCACCTTGGTGGGTACCTTTCCCAGATCCACATAGAAATCTGCCAGCCTTGACTGTCAGAGCTCTGCAGGGAGGCTCTAGGGCTCATCTAGTTCTCTTTCACTGCAAGATGGGGAGGCTGTGGCTCCCAGAGACGTCATGCAGGCAGATGAGGCTGAGCTCAGGACCAAACTTCAGGTGCAGGCCTCCTGGCTACCAGCATGTGTCAGAGTGTGGCACCTGGACCTCTGTGTGGTGCAAGGGGATTTTAGATGGAATGCAGAAGGCAATTTTATATTCGTACTTATGCCTTATTCTAATATGGGTTAGAGAAAAGTATAGCTAGCACTTTATTGCTTAGGATGAGGGTAAGTTTTTTTTAAAAAGAGTCCATTTAAAGGGCTGTTAAATTACGGTATTGGTGATTCCTGCAAATGGCAAAATTGTGGCAGAGGACAAAGGCTGGGATTTGGAGAAATGTGTCTAGTCTATTTCCTGCGTCCATTGATGGTTCCTGCTCTGACCATGCTTTCCTCTTGTCTCTCCAGTGCTGTCTGATTCTTTGTACTCCTGTTGTCAGGCTGCCTCCTGCTTGCTTTCTTCAGATCTTAGTAGCAGGTAGTCACATTTCCCCCACCATCTATTGGTGTCACTGCTCCACTGAAGGAAATGCCTAGAGACTGACCACTCCCCCCCTCCACCAGGTCTACCCCAATCCAGTGTGTCCAGTATTCGTTCCTGAGGCTTCAGGATGAGGGAGTTAGTGAAATTTTTCTCTCCAAATCCTGGAGAGTAAGAGGAGGGTTAGAAATTCCCACCTAAGCATATCCTCCAGGTGTCAAAAGTTGAGACTCTTAAAATACAAGATATGAAGGGCTATAGACTGAACATTTTGAGGACATTCACAGTAGATCCAGTGCCAGGCAGGACTGTTATATGGCCTTGCTGTCTCCAAGCCCATACCCGTAATTCTCAGTATTGCCTTTCCCTTGCCACAGCCTCCCTCTCCATATCTCCTGCTGTCTGGGAACCTTGGGCTGAAGGCCCCAGTCACGATTGCATGTGGAATGGCTGAAACCAGTTGTATTAGAAATGTGGTCCTCTCCTGGGAGTTGGTGTCTTTGGCCTTTGTGCAGTCACTTCTTGGGGGTGGACTCTCCCCCAAGGTGAGTTTCTGCCATTACATAGAGCATTCCAAAATAAATCTCTTGGGTTAGAAGGGACCCTTTAGGTCACCTAGTTTTACCATCATTCAATACTCAACAACATCCCTCCCAAGGTCATGCAGCCTTGACTTGGCCTCATCTAGGGAAATCCCTTCCTTGTATATTTCATCCCTTTTCTCATTAACTCTGAGACAAAAATCAATACAAAACAAAACATGCTTGTCCTTGCCCTCCCAGATCATGGAGACTGTATTGTGCTTAGTGAGGGAATTGATTGTTAGTTGGTGCTGGAGTGTGAGTGGACTATGACTGTAAAGTAGGGGTTCTAATGTTACTGCAGTTACCAACTCCTGAGGAGAGCCTCAAGAGGCCTATGGTATCTTGCAACTGGACACTGTTTTGTGTATATGTGCAGTTTTTTGGGAATAGGATTTACAGGGTTCATTAAAATATCTCAAAAATCCACGATCCAAAAAGTCTCTCAAGGGAGAACAGATCCTGAAGGGAAACAGCAGGAAGACAAAGAGAAAGCAAGTGTGAGATATGTCCAGCTGGCTTATCATGAGCAAGACCTTCCCAGGCCTTTTGGACCCCTCTTTTGGGGTCCTCTCCAGGGGTTTTCCTCCTTTATTTTAGGGTCCTTCAGGCCTTTCAGTTTCTGGGAAGCTGGACTGTTTTCCTATAGGTTCCCCTTTCTCGTCTCTGGTATACATACACACGACCTGTTAGAAATGAGGAGTAAATATGTATGAAGCAATCTTTATGGCTTTCTTTGTGGCCCCAGGAGTTACTCTTCCATTGTGAGATGCTCCATGGGATCTGAAAAGTTTTCTGTTTTAATGGAATCTGGCATAATGAGTATATTTTCATTTTTCAGAATAATGTGATCGATGAGGCGGAGAAATAGTTTCTGACCTCTGTGATGAAAAAATTCTTGGAACTATTAGGGCAAAGATTCCTGATTCTCTTGCATTCTCTGTTTTATTTCCCAACACATTCCCGCCCCATCAGATGGCACAGACCTGTTTTTAAGGTTAATATGAATTCTACTGAATTTTCTTTGGAGGCTTTAAAAAAAAGAATTTAGGAACCACATTTATTTAGGGACCACATAATTCAATATTGGGAATCTTTGTTGTGTAGGAAAGGCAAGGCTGGGAATGTGGAGGTGTCAGGTGTTCCGAGGCAGCCTACTAAAGGGAAGAGAGCACTGCTTTAAGGGACAGGTGGCTTGATGCTAGCCACAGTACTGTCCCTAACTTGCCAGGAAACTTCAGTCAAGTTGGCCTGAGTCTCATCTGTAAAGTGGGCATACTGATGCCTGCTTTCCACATTTCATAGGCTTGTTGAGAGGCTCAAGGGAGAGTAGATGTGAGGAGTGTGTTGTCAGCAAGGAGATGCCATCTCTGCTCTTGTGTCTTTTTAATGATGCTGAAGGTATTGGTGTTTGGTTAGGATGTTTAAGTTGGAAAGTTATGGAGTCATTACTGCTTGGTGGCAGGTTAAAATTCTTCCCCAATGCAAAGAATGTAGTCGTACTAGAGAAAGAGCAGTGTGGAGAGAGGGTTCAGAGAAAGTATTTAGCATACTGGTGTATTTTTTATAATCAGATCAGTAAGCGTAGTTGTATGGACCATCTCTGGAACATGGAAATATGTTTTTAATATGTACTCATAGTGATGAGATTTTACTTGTTTTCCTACAACCTAAAGGAACAGAGGCTGGGCTTTAAAAAAAAAGTAGGGTAGAAATAACTGTAACTTTTATGTAGAACACATCCATCCCTGTTTCCCCTCAGCTCCCAAGCCTTAATTGTGGCTGTCTCTGAACTGTTTTTTATGCCGTGTATATTGTGATTGCACTCCATACCAGTTGTGTCTTTAAAGAAAGTTCAGTGTTTGTGATTCTATATTCCATTCCTCACTGATGAACCACTGAAGCCCTTAACTCTGAGGCTACAATAAAACCTTACAGCTAGCTATCCTGCATATCCTTTTTCATATTTGAATTATTTAAAATAGCTTTCTTCTTATTCTTTCTTCTTCCATCTAATACACAATTCTCAAACTTTTTGGTCTCAGGACTCCTTGACACTCTTGAAAATTATTGAGTACTCTAAAGAATTGAGTAAGAGCTTTTGTTTATGTAGGTTATATCCATTGATATTTATCTTCTTAAAATTTATAATGAAAAAAATGAAAGTATTAACTCAGTTAAAGGTAACAGTAAACTCATCACCTGTAAATGTAAATAAAATATTTTAATGAAAAATAACTTTTTTTCAAACGTTCATTGAGAAGAGTGATACCGTTTTATCTTTTTGCAAAGCTCTTGAGTGTCTGGTGTAATAGAAGACAGTAGGTGTCTCATATCTACATCTGCATTAAATCTGTTGCAATCTGTTGTTTCCGTTGAAGAATATGAAGAAAATCCAACCTCACACAGATGTGTAGTTGGAAAGTGGGAGGAGTACATTAATAATCTTTTCAGATAATTGTGAATATTCTTTGATACTAGATCACAACTCTGTTAAAGGTTAGTTGCAATGTGGAATCAGTGAACCTTTTATACTCTATTATATTAACATTCATTGGTTTATTTTGCACTTTGAAAGGATCTTTTATTACTGATGCATGATTTTGTAGCATCATGCATTGGTCATTTGGAAAATATTGCAGATCTTTTATTTTTATTTATTTATTTATTGGTGAGGAAGATTGGCCCGGAGCTAACATCTGTGCCAGTTTCCTTCTACTTTGTATATGGGATGCCACCACAGCATGGCTTGATGAGTGGTGCATAGGTCTGCACCCAGGATCCGAACCCACAAACCCCAAGCCCCCGAAGCACAGCACGTGAACTTAACCACTACACCACTGGGCCAGCACCTGCAGATCCTTTAAATGTTGACACATTTCATTATATAATATCAAAAAATCATATTTGTTGATATCACCACCAGTCTCCATCAGAAAAATCTTGGGAAGCTATTAAGCTCACAATGGTGGATCCAAGCTTTCAAAAATCCTGAGTTTTGCTTGAGAGCTTGAGTTTGATGAATGCTGTCAGGCTCACTTTGTTTATTTTTGAGAAAATATATGTCTGATACCCAAGGCTGAATAACTGTAGTGTAGCTGTTAGCTGTTCTTTCGAGTAAAAATGGGTGGCCGGCCGAGTGGCGTAGTGGTTAAGTTCGTGCACTCCGCTTCGGTGGCCTGGGGTTTGCAGGTTTGGAACCCCAGGCTCGGACCTACACACCGCTCATCAAACCGTGCTGTGGCAGGCGTGCTGCATATAAAATAGAGGAAGATGGGCACAGATGTTAGCCCAGGGCCAATCTTCCTCAGCAAAAAGAGGAGGATTGGCAGAGGATGTTAGCTCAGGGCTAATCTTCCTCACCAAAAAAGAGGTATTCCATGAAGTAAGTTGTTAATTCAGCTCAAAATTCACAGAAATTGTACAGGTGCTTTCCTTAAGAAAAACATTGTACTTAGCTAAGGAACAGAAGTGCTTTATGCATACATCCATTTAATCACATGGAATAGTATTATTGAAAAGATGTGTACTTAAATAAAACAAAGAATTTTTAGTGTTTCATCAAGGACTTCCTTAAGGGAAACAGGTATAATTCTTTCCTGTGAATGGGTGGCAGTGAAGATTGCCAGTACCGCTAGTACAGTGTAGTGCCATTGTCTTGATTTGTGCTAAGGCAGCAGCAATTTTACCCACTGTTACTTTTGTATCATCAGTGCAAATGTCATCACAGTGACAAAGGCAAATAATGTCTTACTATTATGAAAATAGTTTTGATCCCAGGGACCTCCTGAAAGGGTCTCAGGGGTCCCAGGGCTCCAGAGGCCGGAGTTTGAGAACCACTGATCTAATATGTGCTCACAGCACTGAGAATCTTCTCCCCCTGCATTGCTATTCTGAGAGCACCCCTTCCTTCAGAAGTCTTAAGTGGCTCCAAAATCCTTCACTCAACAAAAGCATCTATTATGTGTCAGGCACTTTGTTAGGGAATTAACATTGAAGAAGATACAATCTTTATTCTCCAAGAATTTTCTTGGGGGGTTGGGGAGTAAGGGGAGAAGAGATAACTAAGAAGTTATAGTGTAAGATAAGAATCCTTAAAGTTATGTTACAGGTGATGGACAACAAAGGAAATCCTAGATCGACAAAGGAAATTTTAGATCTAACTCGGAGCTCTTGAACCACATGGCATATCCTCACGAAATCAATCAGTCAATCACCAGGTCCTCTCCTTCCATAAAACAGTACAAATGTCCAAGTTAATTACCTTTGGAAATGTTTTCACACTTAATTGTGCTTGGCTCCAGGCTTGTAGTTTCATGTTTACCCATGCACGTGCGGTTTGCCCTTTTATTTTTTTTTGTTGTTCTTCGGCTTTTGTGCTTCTGTTTGTCATATTTACAAGTGTGTAGCCTTGAGCCAGTGTAACTGATTACGCATAGGTTCATTTCTTTTCCTTGTCTTCGTATTTAAATGTAAGCCTTTGCCTGCTTTAGCCATGTGCTGGGTGAACTGACAGTGTTGGTCTTATTTGAGGTAACGTCACCGCCCGCAAGTTATGTCAGGACAATGCACCCAGGAGGCTGCTCAGGAAGGAAGCCTTTTTTGAGGCAGAGAAGACTTGTAGAAATAGCCGCTGTTCTGTTTCCCTGTTGTCTCCATCCCCAGGATCTGCTTAACTTCTTCAGTTTACAGCTTCCAACCTCTTCCTTGGGGGCGATTTCCATGAAATAGCTGAGCCCCGCCGGGGTCATCAGTGGCAAAAGTTAGACACTTCCAATAGTCTGGGAGCCAATAGTAACTTTTGTAAACGCTGCCGCAGGATACCCCACTGTTCGGAGGCTTCTTCTTTCGGAACGACACAGTTAAAAATAACACTCTGAACAGAACAAAACAAAAACACAGACGGGATAGGCTTTCCCCGTCGGCAGTGGGGAGATGTTCAAGGCGCTCCAAAAAGAGTGCGGGTAACCAGTGTAAAATTCCTTTACTGTTCCGCGGGCTGAAGGGCTGGGCAGAAGGGGGCGGAGATGGGCTCGGGAGAGTCTCTGGCCCTTTAAGGAGGAGGGACAGACATAAGAGTCTGTACCTTTAAGAGTCTCTTTGTCTGGAAACCTCCTTATTTACCCTCCTGTGCTTCAACCAAACTTCGACCCGCGATTCGCAACGCCCCTCTACGCCGCCGCCCCATACGCCAGGCTCAAAGCGGCCGCGCGTCTGTGGTTGACCCTAAACTTTGCGCCTGCGGCGCGACCCTTCGGAGACGGTGTCTGTCCCTGGGTCGGCGCCCCGCGCAGCGCCGTTGGCGCAATGCGGGGCCCGAGGGGCGGGGCTCCGGCGGGCGGGCCAATGGGCGGGCAGGGGGCGGGGCCGGGTTCGGTTGTCTCGCGCCCTGGTGACAGCTCGCGCGTGCTGATGATGGCGGTAAATAGAGGGGGGGTCGGGGAAGGGGGTGGAGGAGGTGGGGAGGCAGCTAGGCGGGTAGCTCCGGGGGGTGGGGGCTGGGGGCCGGGGGCCGGGGAGGACGGGACGGCCAGGGAGCCCATTCTAAGGCTCGGAGGCGGGGACAGAAGTCTCCGGCACACTGGCCCTCCCCTTTAAAGAAGCAAAATCCTCACACACCGGGTGAGGGGCGACAAAGGCGGCGCGCGCCTCGCGGGCGGGAGGAGCGGCGGCAGGGGGCGGGACCGCGGCGC